TTCCCGGAATTCCCATTTCTTCCCGGAATTCCCATTTATTCCCGGTTTTTTCCCATTTTTCCCAGGCACCTGGACCATCACTCGCTGTGGGAGCCGCAGCTCTTCGCCCGCTCCTGCTTCCGGATCATCATGTTCTCCATCCAGGTGAGAATTCCCGGGAAATCCTCGGGAATTCCCCGGCCCCGCCCACATTCCAGAGAAATCCCGAGAAACCCGGAAATCCGGGAATGCTTTCCAGGCCTGGGAATTCCCAAGCGGGACGGGAATTCCCTGGGGGTTTTTTCCGGGATCTGGGATTTTTCCGGGATTTTTCCAGGATTTTTTCCGGGATCTGGGATTTTTCCGGGATTTTTCCAGGATTTTTTTCGGGATCTGGGAATTTTCCAGGATTTTTCCAGGATTTTTTCGGGATCTGGGAATTTTCCGGGATTTTTCCAGGATTTTTTCGGGATCTGGGAATTTTTTGGGGGGATTTTTTGGGATATTTTGGGATATTTTGGGACCTGAGATATTTTGGGATCGAGGATTTTTTGGGATCTGGGAATTTTGGGATCTGGAATTTTTTGGGATCTGGGATATTTTCGGGATTTTTCGGGACCTGGGATTTTTTTGGGGATCTGGGAATTTTGGGATCCAGGTTTTTTTGGGAGCTGGGATTTTTTGGGATTTTTTGGGATTTTTTGGGATTTTTTTGGATTTTTTTTGGATTTTTTGGGATTTTTTGGGATTTTTTGGGATTTTTTTTTTATTTTTTGGGATTTTTTGGGATTTTTCGGGATTTTTCGGGATTTTTCGGGACCTGGGATTTTTTGGGATCTGGGATCTTTTGGGATCTGGGATCTTTTAGGATTGTGGAATTTTTGGGAATTTTTGGGATTTTTTGGGATTTTTTTTGGGATTTTTTGGGATTTTTCCAGGATATTTTGGGATCGAGGATTTTTTTTTGGGATCTGGGATTTTTTTGGGATCAGGGATTTTTTTGGATTTTTTGGGGATCTGAGATATTTTGGGATCGAGGATTTTTTTGGGGATCTGGGATTTTTTGGGATTTTTCGGGACCTGGGATTTTTTGGGATTGGGGATTTTTCGGGATTTTTTGGGACCTGGGATTTTTTGGGATCTGGGATCTTTTAGGATTGCGGGATTTTTGGGATTTTTTGGGATTTTTTTTTGGATTTTTTTGGGATTTTTTTGGGATTTTTTGGGATATTTTGGGATATTTTGGGGATCTGAGATAATTTGGGATTGAGGATTTTTTTGGGATCTGTGATTTCTCAGGACCTGGGAATTTTTGGGATCGGGGATTTTTTGGGATTTTTTTGGGGATCTGGGATCTTTTGGGATCTGGGATCTTTTAGGATTGGGGATTTTTTGGGATTTTTTGGGATTTTTTTGGAATTTTTTTGGATATTTTGGGATATTTTGGAATCGAGGATTTTTTTTGGGATCTGGGATTTTTTGGGATTTTTTGGGATGTTTTGGGATTTTTTGGGATTTTTCGGGACCTGGGATTTTTTGGGATTGGGGATTTTTCGGGATTTTTTGGGATCTGGGATTTTTTGGGATCTGGGATCTTTTAGGATTGCGGGATTTTTGGGATTTTTTGGGATTTTTTTGGATTTTTTTGGGATTTTTTTGGAATTTTTTGGGATATTTTGGGATATTTTGGGGATCTGAGATATTTTGGGATCGAGGATTTTTTTTGGGATCTGGGATTTTTTTGGGATCTGGGATTTTTCCAGGATTTTTTGAGATACGGGATTTTTCAGGATCTGGAATTTTTGGGGATTTTTCGGGATCTGAGATATTTTGGGATCTGGGATTTCTTTGGGATCTGGGAATTTTTGGGATCTGGGATTTTTCGGGATCGAGGAATTTTTCGGATCTGGGATTTTTCGGGATCTGAGATATTTTGGGATCTGGGATTTTTTCAGTTTCTGGGATTTTTTTGGATCCTGGATTTTTCCAGGATATTTTCGTGATCAAGGACTTTTCAGGATCCAGGATTTTCAGGATCTGAGATTTTTCGGGATCGGGGATTTTCCACAATCTGGGATTTTCCCATCATTTTTTGGCATCTGGAATTTTTCGGGATCTGGGATTTTTCAAGATCGAGGATTTTTTTGGGATCTGGGATCTTTCCAGGATTTTTTGGGACCTGTGACTTTTCTCGGACTTTCTGTGTTTTTCTGAGATTTTATGCCATTTTCTGGGATTTTCTGGGATTTTTCCAGGATTTTCCTCAATTTTTCCAGGATTTCCTGGAATTTTGTGGGATTTTTCTGGGATTTCCCATTATTTTCCAGGATTTCCCAGGATGTCCCATGTTTTCCCTGGATTTTGTGGTATTTTTTCCATCATTTTCTTGGGTTTTTGTGGGACTTGCTGGATTTTTTTCCCGGGGTTTTCCAGGATTTTCCGTAATTCTCCACAATTTTCTGGGATTTCCCGGGATTTTCCATGATTCTCCACAATTTCCCCTGTTTTCCCAGGATTTTGTGCCACTTCTGCAGATTTCCCCTCATTTCCCCAAGGAATCCCAATAAAAACCGGGATCCGCCCGCTCCACGCCCGCGGAATCTCGGGAATTTTGGGAATTCCCTTCCCAAACCCTTGGAAAATTCCCGATTCCCGTTTTTCCGGCAGCCCCAGCATTCCCACCTGGTGATCCAGCAGCTCCTGGGTCACCTGGACGCCAACAGCCGGAGCGCGGCGCCGATCCGGGCCGGAATCGTTGAGGTGCTCTCGGAAGCCGCCGTCATCGCCGCCTCCGGATCCGTGGGTACGCCGCAATTCCCACATTTCCCTGGGAATTCCTGGAAATTTTCCCGGGAATTCTTGGAAATTTCCTGGGTTTTGTGTACGGGAATCCAGGAAATTCCCTGTTTTCCCATTCGGGAATTCCCAGAAATTCCCTGTTTTTTGTGTGTGGGAATCCCGGAAATTCCCCATTTTCCTTGTTCAGGAATCCCAGAAATTCCCAGTTTTCTGCCTTTGGGGAATCCCAGAAATTCCCAGTTTTCCATGTACGGGAATCCAGGAAATTCCCTGTTTTCCCATTCGGGAATTCCCGGAAATTCCTCCTTTTCCTCTTTCAGGAATTCCCGGAAATTCCCTGTTTTCCATGTACGGGAATCCCGGAAATTCCCCGTTTTCCCATTCCGGAATTCCCGGAAATTCCTCCTTTTCCTCTTTCAGGAATTCCAGAAATTCCTCCTTTTCTATGTTTGGGAATCCCAGAAATTCCCCGTTTTCTGCCTTTGGGAATCCCGGAAATTCCCCATTTTCAGTGTACGGGAATCCAGGAAATTCCCCTTTTCCACCTTTGGGAATCCCAGAAATTCCCCTTTTTCCACATTCCAAAATCCTGGGAATTCCCATTTCCCCCCTTCGGGAATCCCAAAATTCCCGTTTATCCCAGGGGTGAGCGGAATTCCGGGATTTCCTTTGGAATTTGGGACCAGCTTTGGAAAAGGCTCCGGAATGAGCTCCTCGGGATCCCCTCTGGAGCATCCCAGGAATTCTTGGATCGCTTCCGGGCCGCCCTTCCCGGAATTCCCAAATTCCTGGAGCAACCTGGGAGGGCTGGACGCAATCCCAGGCGTTCTGGGAAAACCGGATTTTCCTGGCTTTTCCCATCTCTTCTGGGATTTTCCAGGATTTTCTGGGCTTTTCCAGCCTTTTCCTGACTTTTCCATCCTTTTTCTGGATTTTCCAGGATTTTCCAGGATTTCCCTGACTTTTCCAGCCTTTTCCTGTCTTTTCCTGAATTTTCTGGGATTTTCTGGGATTTTCTGGGATTTTCCAGCCTTTTCCAGGATTTTCCAGGCTCTTCCCAACTTTTCCCAGATTTTCCAGCCTTTTCCCAGTTTTTCCCTCTCATTCTCCATTTCCCGGGAATTTCCATTTCCCGGGAATTCCCAAACCCTTCCCTCCTCCTCATCCCAAAACTTCCAACGCTTCCCCCAAACCTTTCCCCGGGGAAATCCCCCGGAATTCCGGGATAATTCCAAGGTAATTCCAGGATAATTCCAGGATAATTCTGAGATGATTCTGGGATAAATCCAGGATAATCCCGGGATAATTCCGGAATAATTTGGGGATAATTATGGGATAATCCCAGCATAATCCAGGGATAATTCCCTGATAATCCCGGGATAATTCTGGGATAATTCCAGGATAATTTCGGGATAATTCCCAGATAATTCCAGAATTATTCTGGGATAATTCTGGGATAATTCCAGAATTATTCTGGGATAATTATGGCATCATTCCAAGATAATCCCAGGATAATTTTTGGATAATTTTTTGGATAATTCCAGGGTAATTCCAGGATAATTCCAGGATAATTCCAAGATAATTCTGGGATAAATCTGGGATAAATCCAGGATAATTCCAGGACAATTTCGGGATAATTCCAGAATAATTCTGGAATAATTCGGGGATAATTATGGGATAATCCCGGCATTATCCAGGGATAATTCTGGGATAATTTGGGGATAATTCCGGGATAATCCCGGGGAAATTCCAGAATTATTCTGGGATAATTCCAAGATAATCCCAGGATAATTTTTGGATAATTCCTGGATAATTCCAGGATAATTCTGGGATAATCCTGGGATAATCCAAGGATAATTCCAAGATAATTCTGGGATAATCTGGGGATAATTCCATGATAACTCTGGGATAAATCCAGGATAATTTCAAGATAATTTTGGGATAATCCGGGGATAATTCCAGGATAATTCTGGGATAAATCCAGGATAATTCCAGGATAATTTCGGGACAATTCCACAATAATTCCGGGATAATTCCAGGATAATTTCGGGATAATTCCACAATAATTCTGGGATAATTCCGG